AGTAGACTTTATTTTCGCCCTATGACCCAACTAGCAATTATTCCAGAGGTTATAGATCATCCTCTAAGGAATGGCTATAAGCGAATATGTCCCTGTTGGTTGCCTAGGCAACATGGGATATAGGGACAGAGACTGCGGGCTTCTCTCTTCTCTTCCTTGCCTTCAAGCATAGCAGCTCTGCTTCTGTCCTTCTACCCATAAAGTTACTTAAAGGAAAAAGCTATGTGTATTCAGAAATTCTCTTCTAAATTGTGCGCTCACACATGCACAGTCGGGTGCAGCTTCCTGTCATTAGGGGCCTCATAGCACCGACTCAGCTGTGCCCATCCCCTGGGCCTCACCATGAGATGCAGGCCTGGAGAGCATCCATCAGTCATCTGTTGGTAGTTGAGAAAAAAAGGAACAAAGACTATGTCTCACATTTGGAATTGATACTAATTCAGTGTGTTCACGGCCAAAATGGAGAGAAAGTAGAAAAAGAACATGAAAAATAATATAAAAACACAGCAAATTCCATGAAATTATAATTTAGGATCAAGGAAAATCCTATCCAACAAAAAAGCAGAATGAATATAAGCTGTAGTAGGGAAAAACGAAAGAGAGTCATTCTTAATTCAGTAATCTGGTGAGTTCAGCAACTAGTAACCCAAGAGCAGTTATAATAGCAGTGGAAATAACACTTAAGAACATTATTTGATATTAGATATTAATCTGCTAATAAATAATAATATCCCCTTCACTTGATATTGGTCTATTTTACTTGATAATAGGCAAGACCTAATTAGCATAAGCCTTGATACTATTCTCATTTGAAAAGTTTGTTGAAATTAAATAAGGACTTGAGATCAACACAAAATACTAGAATATTCCTATGAGAAAGAATTAACGAAGATGGAAGTATTTACCTTGAAAAAGAAATGAGTAAAGGGAAAGATTATTGCCCTCAAAGGCTATTAATAATTATGGTAAATTGTTCTCCTGCCCTGTGAGGGCTGCTGTGTATGAGGAGCACACAGGAATGATGGCCAGATAATTTGATTTGCTATGTGCAAGTCATCCTTATAATGAGGAAAAAGGTAAGTACTACAACATCTAACTAAAAGTAATTATAAGGTTTTTACATTCCTGAGCAGATTTGGCAGGGAAAAAAATGCAGTATCTGCTTTGTCTATAATTTCACTGATGTATCTTCTCGAACAGCCTCACAGGGACTGTGGAAATGCAGGGCTGAGGCTGTACTGAGTCCCTGAAGGGCATGCCCTTGTTCATACTGGTAGCCCTCTGCCTCGTGGCCTCACCTCACTCCCAGTTGGCGCTGTTCCCACCAGGAGGCCACACAGATCAGGAATAAACACCTTTGCCTGAGGAAGAAAGTGCTCAGGAAATACATTTGCTCTTCCGTTAGGTAGTGCCATCCAGGGTCCAGGCACAGGAGCACATCCTTGCGGGCTCTCCTTCACAGCATCCTCATCCCACAGGGAATCCTGACATCCGCTGTGGTGAGCGTCTTAACATGCATCACACTGAACACGACACTCAGCGCCTCTGCCCAGCACAGGCCAGGGCAGCAGAACACTGCGTGGTGGCTGGTTAGCCTCGCACTAGGGGGTGGCCTGTTGCTGCGGCTCAATGTAGCTTCCCAGCATCACAAGAGGGGATGCCACCAAGTATTGCTAGCTCCAATGAAGATCCAGACTTAAACTTGATGCCATTATTTCAGGCAAATGCGTGTGGCCTTCACACTGCTGTACAGACTTTGGGCGCCATCTGTGTGCATCAGGGGTTGGCCTTCAGGTTTCCCCAATCCCTGCAACACTAGCACCTGTATGCTGGTAACTTTAGTGTCTCCCTTGCAATCTCTTCGATGTGTGCTTCTAGGCTCCCCTGTGTGTGGCAGCCCCCTGATGCACAAGGCTCACAAAGACCCCGAAGTGCCAACTCCTCAGGGTAGTGGCACTGTGCAGTCTGAGCCTGGTGCTGTCACCCAGGGCTTTGGGAGCTGCACAATGTTCATTCTTCCGGTTTCTGCTCACTGCGTCCTTCCGGTGTGAGCAGTCACCACAGCTGGCGTTTGTTCTCTTTGGCCTCCAGAGCCTCACTGGCTCTAGCATGAGGCCCAGATAATGTCTGGGAGGAGAGCATTTAATCAAGAGGAATAGGTGATTAATCCAGGTGTGGTTCTTTGTTGAAAAAGATTCTGAGGTGTGTTCTACAGCATGACCTATAGTTTGAGAGCAGGATCAAGTCCTAGGTCGTCGTGAAGCCCTAGGGATTTCTATCTTTTCCTGCTCTCACTTTCCCTGTTCCTAAATAAAACTTCTGAAAATACAAATCCTTACTTTAGGATCTGTTTCCAGATGAATGTATGTTAAGTTAAAGTGCCTTCCTACCTTTACATATTCTTTTTTTTTTATTTTTTAAAAAATACTTATTTGTTTAGTTTTTTTATTTATTTTTTGGTACAGGGTCTCACTGTGCAGCTTGGATTCGTAGTGATCCTCCTACCTCAGCTTCCCCAGTGCTGGGATTAAAGGCGTGTGCCACTATGCCTGGCTTTGTTGGCTGGCATGGCACACCCAGGACTCTGGAGCCAGCATAGAATGTGGTACCAGGGATTGAACCCAGGTCCTTGCATTTGCCAGGCAGGCTCTTAGACCACTGAGCTGTCTCCCCAGCCCTATGTTTTCATTTTCTGAAGCACTTATCTTGTTTTATAAGTGATTATACTACAAAACAACAATAATAAAAGCAACATGTTACTTAAACATAAAACAAACATGTGAGTGAATGGAGCAGCACAGAGGGTACAGGTATCTTCCCAGATACATTAAGCTATTCGACCTTTGACAAAGGGACAAAAAGCATGTGTTGGATGACCGTTAGTTGGTTCAACAAACATTTCTATGAAAACTGTGTATGTGTTTGCAGACTATTTAATGTGGATCCACAGAGAGCAAACTGAAATCAAATTGGATCAAAGATCTCAACATTGAAACAGAAACGTTGAACCTACTGAAAGCCACAGGTGTAGGAAGGCATTTTCTAAACACAATAGTGATTTGTAAGAAGTAGTAGCAAGAATCAGCAAATGGGATCACACCAAACTGGAAAGCTTCTGCACAGCAAAGGGCTCAGTTCGTAGAGAAAAGATGCAGCCCACAGATGCAAAAACAGTCTGCCAGCTGTTCCTCGGAACGAGGACTAATGTCTCGACTCTACCACAAAGAGCTTAGAAAACTCAGTTCACCTAAAATTAAAGCTCCAGCCCAGAAATGAACCAGCAAGCCGTCAGAAGCATGAAGGTCAGCCAATGCATGAGAAACGTGCAGGCTCACAGGGTACCAGCGATATCAAGCATCGCGAGAATTCTGCCTCACACGGTCACCAGAAACTCAATAATGAGCGCTACCATGGCTGCAGTGAAAGATGGACACGCTCACGTTGCTGGTGAGGAGGGAAGGTAGCACAACACTTGTGGAAACAGGCATGGAGATCCCCAGGGAACTAAAATTAGAAGTGCTGTGTCCCCTTCTGTCCCCCTTCTGGGCATCGTGGCCACAACACTAACCACACTGTACTACTGTGAGATGTGTATACCAACTTCATGGCAGCACAAATCACAACAGATAAACCTGGGAGCAGCCTGTACAGCCATTGACAGAACACCAGACGAAGAAGAGACTGCGCTATTTATACTTGATGGAACACTCATCTATAAAGAAGGACACACTTCAGACATCTGCGAGAAATGGATGCATATAGGTAATACAATGTTGAATGAAATAAATCACACTCGCAAGCCTAGATGCCTTATAGTGCTCCTCATTTAAGTAAGACCATGTACAGAAAGCATACTACAGGGTGAGTGGGACACAAAAGTTCTACCCTAAGTGCTGGGGATTAGAGGTGGGTGACTGTGCTGAGCCAACAATGGAGTGTGGTGTGATGGTGCATACTGCGATCCCAGCAAGCAGGAGGCTGAGGCAGGAGGATTGCCAAGACTGCAAGACCAGCTGGAACTACACAGTGAGTCAAGGCCAGACTGAAGTAAAAAATGTAAAAGCAAAACAAAACACACAGACAAGGAACTAGATTTCATGCAAATGGGAGTAGATCCAAAGTACATGGCAAGAGTAGAAGAGTGAAGGGGAAAGTGGTTGAAATAAGATATGCCAACTGTAGGAACCTAAGAAGCTAAATGAATGTAAATGTTATATATCATAAACATGAAGTAAAGTTAATAATATCAACAACAATGAAATTGGGGAAAAGAGTTAGACAAGGAGGAAGAAGTGTGGGATAGAAGGAGAAAGGGTTTAAAACTAGGGTCAGGGTGCCCTGTGCGTCCAGCCTCCAAGGTAGCTGTGGACTGCATGCGCTGTGGACATGTGCTACTGCCATAGAATAAGAAATCTTCCATCGATGTTTGAGCACAAGCCAATGGCTGGCCTCTGCAGAGCACCGCGGTGGGCAGTACACACATCTGAGAACACAGCTCGTGTCTCCCTAGGCAGACAACCCCAGCGAGAACAAGAAGTCATTTGCTGAGCCTTGCAGCTCCGAGTCACATTTTCTTAAAGAATGATCTGTGATTCTATAATCTACAATAAAAGGACTCAGAAATACTCTTTTTAACACGTGTTTTTATCAATTCTAGTACAATAGTGAGAAAAATCCTTCCTGTTTGCTAAAGAAAAGAAAAGTAACGAAATTCCTTCGGCTTCTGATCATGCTCGGTGGCGCCTGCACACAGCGCCTTATCACTTCTGCACACTCCACAGTTCATGTATTCATTTGAATAAGTTATAACCAAATAGAGAATTAAAAATGTAACTTGTAACAGCAGATCTGACTTTGGGGATACGCACAAGTCTCGGGAGTTCTAATGCATTTCAGACTTGACATTACAGCACAGAAATAAAACCTCACTGACAGTCATTCCAAGCAATCCAGATGGTAAAGAGTGTTGAAATAACTCTAGAAAAGGTAAGCAAACTTACCCGAATCATCATGACTGAACATCTGATGTCATGAATTGTGTCGTAGATCTTCTTAGACACATCCACAAACTGATTGTCATGAGCCACGTCCAGTGAGTTCTTGCTCAGAGCTTCCAAGGCAGTATTCACTTGAGTTACAAACTCAGGAATTACTATTAAAACAAATGAGACAGGGATTGTCATCTTTGTGACTATTGTATTTGTATGCATCCTAGAAAACCTAGAATTCTATTTTAAATAAATACCTAAGGAGTAGACTTCTGCTCTCCTTACATAGAGATACAAACATTTTGATGGGGATGTCATGGATCTCTGCAGAGTGATATTAAAGACAAGGAAAGTAATGTCTGTAGAAATATTTAAAAGAATAAGCCTTCTCTTTGGTATCGCTCTTGTTGTAACCAAACATAAGATTGCAAAGTCACTTCTTATCTCATACAGTATAAACCCAAAGAAGTCAGGAGAGGAATTGGTGTGGAAAAAAGCTGGAATTGTAACATAGTAAAAGAAAAAAATATTTTAGCTGCTAAACAGAAGAAAATTTAAGTTCAGTTTCTAATTTTGTTTCATAATAACAAAAATATTCCTTAGATGTTCTTTTGGAAAGGTTTTACCTACAATAATAAATATAAATGAAAATAAATTAACAATGCTATATGCAAACCATTTCTAACATCTCAGAGCACTGAATAAGTAGAGGGATGATGATTAGTACATCACTCACCAAATTTGCCTCTACAAAGAGCAGACAGAAGCGCTTCTGACCTTTAGACATTCTTTATTAAATAGGAACACATAGCTATGTTCAAAAATGTATATATTTGGGCCAGGGAGATAGCTCGGCGGGGCAGTGCCTACCTGGCAAACTG